GGAACCACCACTGAGATGATAAATAAATGTCTTATTTATAAGCTTTTATGTAGATGCATGGATAATATACTTTTAATTTTTTCATGTAAATGGGATTCTGTAGTTTGCTTTTTTATGTAACAGTATAGCTTCAAAGTCTTATTTCTGTACAAGTAAATAAAATATTAATACCTCTCCTGGTAGCTTAGATGGTAAAGAATCTGCCTGCAATGTGGGAGACCTGGGTTCAATCACTGGGTTGGGAAGATCCCCTGGAGGAAGGCATGGCCACCTGCTCCAGTATGCTTGCCTGGAGAATCCCATGGACAGAGAAGCCTAGTGGGTTATAGTCCATGGCGTCGTTAACAGTTGGACACAACTGAGTGACTAAGCACACACAGATTATTTTGAAAGAAACGAATTATGGTACATAATAGGGAGTAGGGATGTATTATACTTAATCTAGCAAACTACTGCAATATAGTTGGGTTGTTCCCAAGAGAAATTATGAGAAATGCTCCACTATCTTTGAACAACAATCTTTGTGCAGATAAACACTTTCAAAGAATTCCTAGAAATCTAACTGTGTGTTCAAAGGATGTGTGCATTTTAAAAAGCTTGATTGAGGTATAACTCACATACCATAAAAGTTACCCATTTGAAGTGGGTATTAGTATGTTTACACAGTTACTTGTACAGGTGAAGAGTTGAATGACTGTCACGATTTTATTTTAAATAATTTCTATCACCCCATCCCCAAAGTCTCATGTCCATTTGCAATCACTTCCCACTCCTACCATTAGAACCACTATTCTGCTTTTTGTCCCTATAGTTTTATCTACTCTGAACATAACATACGGATGTAAGTGTATATTGTGTTGTCTTTTGTGCCAGCCACCTTTCACTTAGCAGAATGTTTCTGAGGTTTGTTCATGTTGAAGCCTGTATCAGTACTTTGCTCCTTTTCATGGCTGAATAATATTCCATCACATGGATATACCACATTTTGCTTATCCATTCACCAGCTGATAGACAATTGGGTTTGTTGGTTCACTCTGGAAATTATAGCACAAGAAGAGTGATCATCAGCAGTGGTCACACATAATAACCAAGTAGAAACGGGGCCACAAACATACAAACAACAAATTTAAAAGGACCCGATAGTATATCCAAGGCAATACATAGCCAAACGTCTCAGAGGAAACACAACTTAATGACTTTTAGTAGACAAAATCTCAATATGATTCTACTAATTATAGAAGATATTGATAAGGCATACCAGACTCTGGCATTACCATCTTCCTGGGCAAATGAGAAGACATTCCAAAACATCCCCAATTGATAATCAGACTGCATTTTCTCAAAGAAAAAATTATAATTGTGAGACTGAAGTTACCTTATAAAGATTTTATTTACCCTAAGACCTTGGAATAAAACACTTCATTTTTCATTATATTAGTAAATGTAAGCCTGGTAGTAGTATTTTATTCCTTTTTTTTAGCTGTACTTTGGCATTTTAAATCTTACCAAACATATTCACACATTTTCGACCAGGGGAGTTTTACGAAAACTAAAGCCTGAGGTGTTGATATGTCTCCAGTCAATACTGTGTTAATTAACCTCTGTCTTCTTTCAAATCTATGACTATACCGTAAGAAGCACACAATGCTCTAATGAAATGGACCAACAGTCTCAAAACTGTCACCTTGAAAAACTGCCTAGTTATTCCAAGGATGTAGTTATTCTTCAAATTATTTTTGTAGCTCACCTTCTGCATTGGCTTTTGGAGCTCATGGTATAACCCTAGACATAGAAAATCTTCACTGTCCTGAGTAGATAAAATTTTTTTAAAACAGTCCAAAGATATTGGAGTTGGGTGAATGAGCTGAGTAGTAATTGGGGGATGAAAAATAAAGGCATAATTGTAAAGTAAAGACATTTTGACTCTCCAAGGCTATTACAACCAATAGTATAATGTAATCACATGTACAGCTTCCCAAAGTGACTTCTTTGAGGATGAAATTAATTTAGCTGAATAAGCAAAATAATTTCAAGGTCATACTTATGCCATGTGTGCTCACAAGCACTAAAACATGGCCCTTCCAAAAATATATCTCCCACTGTTCTACCACGCTACTTAAAACGCAGAGTACTCTGAAGAACTAACAGCTGCTGCTAAAATACCACATATTCTAAGTGTAACAATATCTTAGCATGAATTTGCTTGACAGAATAAATACACAAGGCAAGAGGACATAACTGATTTGGGGAGAAGACCAGCAGACGGAAACCCCAGAACCACTTTCTAACCCTTGAATTGAACACAGCACATCAGCTGTGTTCATCAGCTCCAGACATCCACCATAAACAGATCAGACAAACACAGCTGTATGGTCCAAGCATGTGGTGATTTTTATTAAGAATAACTTTGGTTCTAAGAATTCCACCCTCAATTCTGTAATACTTTCCATTAAAAACAATTATACAAGAGCAAATACAAAAAATATTAAATTATGAAAACAAATCCATTAAGGCTCCCTTTATATATATTATATACACTCAAACAAGTGAACATTTTTCAGAGTAGAAGAATAAAGTCAACTGTGGTAGCTTAGAAAGCAACACTACCTTCCTACTTGGAGACTAGAAAACACTGAGCTATTTTAAGAAAACCATAAGAGTGGAAAAATGGAGCCATTTTTGTCAAAAAGTGGCTCAAAGCCCAAAACTGCTCAGATGTCCGTGAGTCCTAGAGGTTTGGACTATAGAGTATGAAGTGTGGGGCAGCGGTGGGGGGAGAGAATGATGCCTTTTTAAACTCAAGCTTATGAGCCAAGCTGACCTGGCAACTTCGAAGAGCTTTTCTATCTGTACATTCCACTGTTTAGCGAGGAAACATCACTTGACTCTATTTACAAGTCTTCTTTCAGCCAGACCTTGGACTACCAACCACTACTAATTTTACAGATTTGTGAGTGAGGTTGAGAGGGAAATGCTTTAGGAATTTAGCTTTTCCCAGTGAAGCATGAATTCTAGGTAAGTTCTAGGAACAGAATTGGTCCTTCTAAAGAAGCCTGTCTGGGCCCTTGAAATTTTTATCAAGGGGCAGAATTGCTTCAAGGACACAGGATCTAAAGATCTTGCATATCCAGCTGGATTAAAGGCTATGAGCTAGTCTTGAATCTTCATTTTGTAAATCGCATCACTATTCTGTATACACAGAGAAAGAACTCTAGTCAATGTGCAATCAGAAATGTACTTTCAAGATGCTTAGTTAACGCACTTTCTTCTGGCAAAAAGATGGGAAAAAATAGTTATCCATCCTTCCAAAGCAAATTACTATACCGTAACATTTTATCCTAAACACCTCGTATTTTATTCATATAATACTTGCTAATGAAAGAAATAATCTGTTTCAGATGTAGTCCACATGTTCTCTGACTAGCAGTATATTATCCATGCATTTACTTTTGTCTTGTTCACATTAGGGATGAATATAAGTCTAATGGCCAACCATGAAACTGCAGAATTCCCAGAGAAAGCTAATTTCTACTAGGCTGATTAAGGATTCAAAAGCTTAGGATCCAGCTTTCTTTGATTCTTGAATTATAAGAGGAGCCTTCGATGTCGAAATTACTGGATGAATCTTTTCTACCAAGAACATACTGGATCCACACAGATTCTTCTAAACCACCCCAAGTAGAAATGTTTCCCCTGCCCATACCGGTGACAGAGAATGGATTTTGCATTAAGAATCTGGCTGTAAAGTTGGTAACTCGGGGTTCATGTGGAGGATAGTATGCCAATTGGAGAGCACAGACTGTGTGTCCCATCTCCTCAGCTGTTCCTGAGAGATCAACAGTGGTCACAACATCATCCTTACCAACAGCATCGTCATCATGAAGGTAGGGATGAGACAGTCTTCCTTCACAAGGAAAAAGGGCAAAGAGCTGGTGATTATTAGAGAATTTCAAAGCTTGGATTCAAATAATATTCAAAATGCATAAATGCTATATTCTTGCAGAGACTAGTTCATATTCGTTTCACATCAAAAAGCCCAAAGAACCCTTCCTTCCCAAGCTTCCGGTGGGAGCTTTCCCCATACCGTTCTCAGAAGAAACCAAAAAGACTTGAACCCACTCCTTTGACACTGAAGTTGGGTTATTTGGACTAGTTTTTATTCCTCAAAGGGCTGGGACATTATTTCACATAAAAGGACTAAATGAGCAAGAAATTAAAAAACAAAAAATGAAACAAAAGCCCTAACAGTTATCAAAGCAATACATGGATTTGCAGGACATACCTTCCCTGAAGTAGAAGGTCACCATGAAGCCTCAGAAAACCAGCAGGAATGAAAACAAAATCGAGATGGACGTTTACAGAGTTTTGTTTCTATATTTTTGTTTTTGTATTTTTACACCTCCTCATCCTATTTCTGAATCTTAATGTCGACAAAGGTAAGAGCTGTGCTCATCATGAATATTAACATTCTCCAGTGTGAAGCCTAAAGTAGGTGAAAGTGTAAAAGAGACAAGAAAACGGAATTTACAAACGGTGGATGTAACAGATTCAACGCATTTCTGTGCAATCTAAATTATTGGATAGATAAGAAAGGAAGAACAAAAGGCGTTTTTCTTTAGGTTTTGAAAGAGAAAAGGCTCTGTGCCCCACTAAACTTGGATTGAAAGAAAAACCAAGTAGTGCAACTCTCAAGAATTTATTCCAGTGTCCTCTTCCTTTGTTTCTTGTTGTTGTCTTTTAAAAGTCTTTGAACACAGGTCCACTATCCCACCTTAAGTGCTGGTCAATATCCTTTGTTTGGCGAACAGGAACTGCAACAGTCACAGGTGACTCACCCACCCGGATGGGAGAAAAACCAAAATCAAACCCTTTTGAAAATAACAGATCCCTGCTGGCTGGGATTCGCTCCAGGGGCTTTGGCCCTGAGCTTAAGTGCTGGGGAGGCCCTGGCACAGGCCTTCTGTGTGCTGGGCTGGGTGCGTGGTGTCTGCAGCCTGGACCTACGACTCCTGGGCTTGCGCCACTTCTTGGCCTGTTCTTCTGAGATTGCCTTTAACCTTCACAAACTCTGGGGCATTTTCTTGCTCTTCTTGCAATTTCTGTTTCTCAAGTTCAAGCTAAACAGAATTCAGAAACAGGAGAATTATTTACAAATTATTTACAAAGGGAGAGGCTTTCCAAAAACACTGTTTTCTCTTCCCAAAGGCCCTAATGACTTCGATTCCCAACAGAAGAAAAGTTTCCCCTGTCTCCACTTTAAATATATTTATATTTTCATATATGTGGCAGGATCTAGGTCCTGGGGTAAGAATTCTGCACAGAAGCAGCAGCCAGTGACTGGGTTATTGCTGAAAGCCTGCGGGGGTGATAAGAACCTGAAGATCAAGGCTAAGGATGAAAACAAGAGCTGAGGGCAACACACACGGGCTCTCCAGTGGCGAGTGAAGCTGAACGTCACTCATGTGCTTGAGCTCCAGCACTGGGCTGTGAATTCAATGGCAGTCCCTGGCTTTGGCTGCGCCTCCCTGATCTCTTCTAGATCCTCAACAGAATCCTTCTCTTTATCTTGAACGTCTTTTAGTCGACCTGCAGACATCTGTCTCAGCTTTTCCTTTCACCGTATATAAACACTTACATCCGACGTGTCTGGGAAATTCTGGACAAGGTAAGTCAGAGAAATACAAGTACTGTATGATCTGTCTTATATATGGAATCTAAAAACAGAGGGTAAAATGGGGACTAGCAGGGACTTAGGCTGGGGGAATGGGAAAGATGCATTTAAGGGTACACACTTGCAACTAGAAGATAAGTCCTGGAGGCCTAATACATAGTCCAGGGATTACAGGGAACAAAGCAATTATAAACGTGAACATTAAGAAACTAGAACACTGTACACCACTAGAAGAAAGGGTAATTATACGACAGAGGTGTGTGCTAACACTACAATGACAATTGTGATACAAATGTATCAAATCAATATATTTTTCCTCAAACAATATTTTATGTCAACTATCTCAATAAAAAAACCCCACCTTTACCCCCAATCACCCTTACCTGCTCCAACTTCTGCTGCCGTTTTAATAGTTCTATTTCCAAGTCAGATTTCTTCTTTTGTGCTTCTTCTTCCTTCTGCTTTATTACTTGATCTCGTTTTCTCTTTTCCATCACTTTCTGCAGTTCTGGTTTATTCTGAGGGGCAAGACCCCTGCAAAAAAGCATTAACAAATCACTTTGCTGAACACCTCAAACTAACGCAATACTGTACTTCAAAAAAATTTTTTTATTGAAAAAAGTAAAAATAATTTAAATTGAAAAATTTTTTTAAAGCATCAACAAAATTTAAGAGTTGTAATCTAACGGACGCATCTTTCATGATCAGAAATTTAGGCATCAACCACAGAAGGGTCTAGTGACTTAGCGTGACTGTGACGCCTACTACCAGCTAACAGTCAGCACTGAGGGGCCTCAGAAATTCACAAGCATGAAAGAAAAGGGCAAGAGCATACTTTTAAGAGTAAGCAAAACCCACCGCTCAATAAAATCTCTACTGCATGTCAGATACTAGGCCATGCACGGGAGGCTAGTGTTTGTGGTTTGTGGGGGAAGTTCAGGAAGAGCATGCTCATTCAGGGCATGTGATGGTCAACTATACTGAAGAGGAAGATGCCTCCACCAGGAATTGCAGGGGAAGTTTCCCAAGATGGAGCCCCTGACCCCAAGTATTAAATGCAGCCTGGAGAGAAGCTAGCAGAAAGCTCAACAACAAAATGGCCTGGAAACATCCTCCAACCCTCCCTCTTTGAGACTTGGGAGAGGATTCTCACACATCCCAAGGCACACCAAAGGCTCCATCACTGCTGGGGTCGTGGCCACGGAAAATCTGGATCCCGACTCCCAGGCCAGTGCTCTGGAACCATTTCAGACCCACAGTTCAACTGCTGACAACGCTTGGAAGTCAGGCTTCAGGGAGCGATGGATCAGGCTGCCAGCTCTTCAAATGGAGCGAAACAAAACCCAAAACTCAGGCCATTACCTAGCAACTCTCATCTGAAAGGTCTGAGCTGGGTCAGGGGAAGGACGTTCAGACACTTTCGTAGAAGGGATTGCTATGCTAAAGTCAGCCGGGATTTGCCCAGTCTCCATTTCCTCAGCCAGCTGGTTGTTGGCCACGCTGTTCCTCAGGGTCTCTCCAGCCTGGACTCCCCCTCATGCCCCGACCCTCAGTGCTGGCTTAGCTGCCCACCTCCTCTTCACCAAGCTCCCTCTCTTGAGCCAGTCTCCACTGGGCCCTAAAGTATCTCAACTCAGTATTCACACTGATGACAAAAACACAAGTTACAAAACAGGAAGAGCATTATCCAGGTCAGACAGCCAAGGGCATAAGTGACAATGCTATCACACTCGAGTCCGCAAGCATACACACAGCCACAACAGGAACTCGCGCTTTTCTGGGCTGCAGGAAACCAGTGCTGCTGGATCAGCCCGGGACCGAGGAGGCCCGTGTGCCTCCCTACACATCTGCCGGCCTCAGTGGTGATGCCCGGGAGGTCTGTGCACCAGCCCCATCAATCTCCATGGCTGTTCTCCAAACTACTCCAATCAGCTAAGGCAACTAATGAACTAGGAGTCATCTGAATAACTTAAAGAATTTCCAAAACATGTTCTGGTTTTAAGAATCTCAAAAACACCCTTGCTTCAATCTCTTTCAAGTTCACCCTATCATATTTTGCAAACTAATCACACTTGCAAGCATCACACTTCCTCATCTATAGGAATTTTTAAAATTCTGGCATCTCTCCTCTCTACCTACTTTTTAAATCACAATAAATGATTTTTTCAAAGCTGCTGTTTATAAAGATGAGCATAATCCATCACTGAAGATAAAGAACACAGACCTCAAAATAACATGTATGTCTTCCCTTTCCCCATTTTCATTAGCAGAACCTTTGGGTTTTTTTTTTATTATTTTGTTTTTAAACTTAAGTCTTTATTGAATTTGTTACAATATTGCTTATGTTGTTTATGTCCTGGTTTCTTGGCCATGGGGCATATGGGATCTTTGCTCCCTGATCAGGGATCAAACCTGCACCCTCTGCATTGGAAGCCAAAGTGTTAACCACTGGACCAGCAGGGAAGTCCCTGTTTTTTTTTTTTTTTTAAAAAGAAAAAAAAGAAAATATTAAATTCAGCCATATTTCCAATGAAATAAAAGAGGCTATTTTGTGATTTAATTACAATTTGTTTCCCAGTTATTAAGATTGTATGAGGAGGAGAGAAGTATAGACAGACTATTCCAGAAACCAAATCTTTACTCAGTGCAATAAAAAAGTTGCTTATGGTACTTTCCTCTGATAGACTTAGGTGTCACTGAGCACTGGAAAATGTTTGTAAATAATCTGAGAAAGACCCACTGAGCTTCATGACTATTAAAAACTCTCACTAGGACACTTACAGAGTTAAAGGATTTAAATTATAGAATTAAGAATTTAGCTACCTGCATAATTTAAATTTCAAGCTATAATTCACTGAAGAAATTAACCTCAACTGTTATTAAGTGCTTCTGGATTATGCAAAAGCTGTTGAACAAACTGATGTATGATGCATTAAGCTGGCACTCTATAGAAACATGTGAATGAGTTTAACTAATACACGTATTCATTTTCTGTTCAAAGATTTTACCCAATAGTGCAGTAAGATAAAATATTTAGTGACACAAAACTCAGGAAAATGGGGCTTATATGATAAATGTCCTGCACTTATAATAGTCAAGAAGTCATACAAATTTAATTAATATTTTATTAAGCAGCTCACTTAACTTTGTGCTAAATGGAAAAAGGCAAGCACTATCTATGTGATTCTCTAAGTCTAAAACTGGATCAGACTGCAGAGAGAGCATAGACAGACAGAAACGAGTTTCTCCCTAGTTTCATAAAAATGACAGTATAAGCCTCTGCATGACAACATTGATTATCTTTAATCCATTCTGACATATGCAATTAACAAGAACTTTCAATCACCTGATGACTGAAAACTTGGCCTGGGGGCCATGGTACCAGTCAAGACTAACAGTTATTCCCGAATTGCTTACTGTGACTTTTATAGTGGACCAAGTTGATTTTTTAAATTAGTAAGTCCTCTTTGAAAAAAACAATGTTTTTTAGGGCTTCCCTGGTGGCTCAGATGGTAAAGAATCTGCCTGCAATGCAGGAGACCCAGGTTCGATCCCTGGGTTGGGAAGACCCTCTGGAGAAGGAAATGGCAACCCACTCCAGTAATCTTGACTGCGAAATCCCATGGACAGGAGCCTGGCAGGCTACAGTCCATGCAGTCACAAAGAGTTGGACATGACTTAGCAACTGACACTTTGGAAAAAAAGAAAAAAAAACTTAGCTGACATATACATATTAGCAAGACAAAAAGTGAAAGCACACCTCAACTCCCCCTGGTCAACATCTACTGGGCACACCACTTGCATGATATTCTAGGTGAGTGGTGGCTCGGAAAACTGTACGAGATAGAAGCCCTACACCCATGGACTGCTCCCCATTCCTGTGTGCACGTGTGCTGTTGTTCAATTTTGTCCAATTCTTTGTGACCTCTTGGACTGTAGCCCACCAGGCTCCTCCGTCCATGGATTTTCCAACCAAAAATACTGAAGTAGGTTGCCATTTCCTCCTCCAGGGGATCTTCCCAATCAAGGGATGGAACCTGAGTCCCCTGCACTGGCAGGTGGATTCTTTACCAACTGAGCCACCTGGGAAGCCCTCCCCACACTATTGCATCCACAGATAACGCCCCATCTAGTCTGTGCTCCCCTATACTACCTAGACCTTTATCAGAGCACAGAAGTGCCAAAACTGTGCCACGTCTATAATGAGACATTTAGGTTGTGTCCAGTTGTCCCCAATTGAACACAAGGAGGCGAGAGACTTCCTCGACCATTTATATCTGTCCTATCCAAGTATTTCTGTTGGCGACATTCTCAGAAGCATAACTGCTGGCTAAGCATCTACATATTCTGGATTCGGATGTGGATGGCCAAATCACTTTCCAACTAGGCTGCAACAATTTATACTCCAGCCGCCACTGATGAAAACGTACAGACGACTTTTAAAGGTCCCTTTCACTTTTCATAGAAACCACGGAACTCATCTGGGGGCCAACTGGACCGCCCCACCTCCACGGCAGCCACACTTAACCCTGTGACAGGGAAACCGTCTCCTTATGTGGGTCAGCACCAGGCAGAGGCAGGTCTGGCAAAAACTCTAATACAACACACTCCCTTCCCCTGCCTACCCAGCCAAGCCTCTTGGCCTAATATTTTCCTTTATGGGGGAGGAGGAGGGTTGCCTTTGGTTCTCCAGCCCTTCATCTTGAATCTTGAAATCTTCTGGTTTGTTCGGCCCACCTCTACATTTTTGACTGAGCCCTTTCTATCTGCATGGATTCAAATTCAATTCTATCTCAACTTCCCTTATTTTTTTTCATGATGCACAGCAATAAGCATTTATTGAGAAACCAACTGCTTGTCTAGCAAAGCATGCTGACTGCAGAAGGTCCTGGAAACTGCTGACTGAAAAAAATCCAGGGTAGCTGGGTATTCTATATTTGTCCCAAAGGACTCTTTTTAGAAGGGCTTCCCTGATGGTTCAGTGGTAAAGAACCCACCTGCCAATGCAGGAGACGTAAGAGACACAGGTTCGATCCCTGGATCGGGGAGATCCCCTGGAGGAGGGCATTGCCTGGAGTATCCCATGGACAGAGGAGCCTGGCAGGCTACGGTCCACAGGGTCGCCAAAAGTCAGACACAACTGAAGTGATTTAGCGTGGATACTCTTTTTAGAGAAGGCAGATTCTCTCTAAATTATATCAGAAATAAGCACTCTTGAACACTGATCTTTCAAGTATCAAAAATAATGCCTCCTGCAATCTGCCATTTTATGGAAATAGCTAAAGAATCTAAGAACCCTAACACAAGGTCTTAATGGTCAGACCAAGTGGCATGACCAGATCAAAATATGAAGACTTTTAGGGACTTCCCTGGTGGCCCAGTGGTTAAGATTTCATCTTCCAATGCAGAGGGTCCGGGTTCAGTCACTGGTCAGGGAGCTATGATCCCACATGCCTCTCAGCGAAAAAAATCAAAACATAAAACAGAAGCAAAAAAAAAAAAAAAAAAAAAACCAGAAGCAATATTGTAACAAATTCAATTAAGACTTTAAAAATGGTCCACATCAAAAACATCTTTTCAAAAAAATTTTAAAGACTTTTAACCTGAACCTTAGCTGGGTCCAGAAACTGGCAACAGAAGAACAGAATGACATACTTGAAGGAGTGTGGAATGCGGTGTGAGAACACCTATGAGAATGTGCTCTCTGCTTTTGTCTTCTGATCTCTAGAAGGTGCTTCCAACAACTCTTTGAACTGCGACAGAGCTTTGAGCCAAATATGCAGCCACAAAGAGCAAAGGTTCCACAAAGCTTGTTCTGTGATCTCAGTTCTGTCTTCCTCTCCTATTCCTACCCCTTCTTCTCATTTATATATTATTTTTTAAATTATTTGTTTATTTATTGGGCTGTGCCAAGTCTTAGTTGTGGCACTTGGGATCATCAATCTTTGTTGGGGCTTGCAGGATCTTTAGTTGGGGCACACAGGATCTAGTTTCCTGACCAGGAATCGAACCCAGGACCCCTGCATTGGGAGTGAAGAGTTTTTGCCACTGGAACACCAGGGAAGTCCCTCATTCATATTATTATTAAATTTGATTCACAGTTGTCTTTAAACATATATATAATTAAAGACATACATAATTCTATATTGATTTCAACCCTTTTTAATTCCAAAAAGCTACCATGTCATCTTGAGAAGACTCCTTAGCCTGGTACCCTGAAGAGTTTCCCTTTATTCACATATCAAATTAGGACAATTCCAAAACAACACACACTGGGTTTCTGAAAAAATTATTGGATAAAACATGGGAAAGCCCTTTACAAGTTGCAGAAAAGTCAACAGAATTTCATTACGGTACAAACTAGTCAGCAAGTATGACAATTCTTTAACTGAATATATGCATACTATCGGGGCTTCCCTGCTGGTTCAGATGGTAAAGAATCTGCCTGCAATGCATGAGATCCAGGTTCGATCCCTGGATTGGGAAGATCCCCTGGAGAAGGGACTGGCTACCCACTCCAGTATTCTTGCCTGAAGATTTCATGGACAGAGAAGACTGGCGGCCTATAGCTTTAGAAGTCTTTACTCTAAAACTGGTTGTATTTCTAATAAGAGGATTCTACCAAACTAAGATTTTACCTTTGAAAAAAACCTGAAGAAGTAGGATAAGATATACTCACTTAATTTTGAAACTTTTATTTTTTTAAATACACTTCTACAACCAGATCAGAACTCTTCAGAGAAAAACAGGAACAAGCAATAGGGATTTTTCAGATGCTGCTGCAGGGCAAGTGGAAAGATGGATGGTGCTAACTGAGCACATCTTACATAGGTCAGGTATTTTAGTAGGTGTTTATACATGTTCTCCTTCATTTTCATCTTTATAAGAAAGATTATTTTTATCTCTTACTTAATAGATGAAGAAACAGATCTCAGGAAGGGGGACCTTGTCCAAAATCATAAAAGTTTGGGAAGATCCCCTAGGGCAGGGAATGGCAACCCACGCTAGTATTCTTGTTTGGAGAATCCCATGGACAGAGGAGCCTGGCAAGCTGTCCATGGGGTCACAAAGAGTCAGACATGACGTAGCGACCAAACAACAAGTTAAATGTTGAACCGGATCCATACCATTTCTCCCTGACCTCAAAGCCCACGTGCTCTCTACACCTTGGTGCTCAAGAGAACACGACCATTCTCTAAAATCTCTCTAAAAGCAACTGAGCTGGGCCCAGCTGAGGGGTCAGCTGTGCAAACAAAGAGAGAAAAAGCACAGGAGAAAGGCCAACAGGAGGATGCTGCATCCTCCCAGGATGTACCTACTCCAGGAAATCTGGCAACAGATTCACTGCACAAACCAAACCGGTAATGTTCTGCCTATGCGGGTATGATCCAGGCGGCTACATACATTTCTGCAGAATAGTCTAGAGCCTCTAATTCAAACGACTATGCTGCCAATTTTGGTTTACTTCTGCCTCTATTTCTGACATGGAGGCTTTTTGTAGATGCTATAGAAAAAAACAAAAAACCAACAACAGTTTTAACTAGAATGTTTCTCAGAGATCAACTAAGTGTCCTAGTGCTATCTGACAGACAAGGAAACTGAGATCCAAGAGATAAAGACAGTCAGAAAATTTTTTGTTCAGAAAACCATTTAGCTACTCTCTTTTAGAGGATATTAAACTTTCCATCTTCCCAGCAAAATGCAGACATGGTTTCCCAGGGACAGCTTCCAAATTCTCTGGCCTACTGAGGAACTTACATAGTTCTGTTTAACTTTGGGCATGATGATACCCATTTGGTTTTGTTGTTGTTTTAACTTTTATGTGATGAAGACAGGTAGAAGTTAAGCACTTACTCAAAAAGGATCAAACTCACATTCTGTTGAATAAGGGTTAACCCAGCAGCACACTGTTGTGCTGGGAACAGAAAGTAAAACACATTTCCACTTCTGGAGGGAGAGATGTAATCACAGAGAGTTCCTGGGACAGGAGTTAGGAGTTCTGGCCTAGATATACTCAGAGAGAGAATTACTGTAAAAATAGCCCCTCATATCCTTTTTAAAAGGTTTTATTTTTAATTAAGCCTTCCTTCCAAACATTAGCCCAGTGCTTAGCTTTGTCTGCACATCTTTCAGTTCAGTGAGCAGTAGCTACCTTTTCACCAAGGCAGAGCAAACAGTGAGTGGTTGAGTGATCCATAGTTTCACAATTCAGATTGACAATTTTAGTCTGAAGACCTGAAAACAGTTCTAAATAAAGCTTAACAGATCTTAGAGAAAGCAACTTGTGTCTTAATAAATGAAGCAACTCTACATCCTCAGCTCTCCTAGTCCAGGGGTCTTACTTAGAATCACTTAAAAAGCAGAGAACCAGCCATAAAAAAGAATGATATAACGCCATGTGCTACAAAATGGATGGACCTAGAGACCATGATACAAGGCAAAGTCAGAAAGAGAAAGACAGATACCATATGACATTACTTACTTGTAGAATCCAAAATACGACACAAATTAACTTATCTACGAAACATGCTCACAGACACAGAAAACAGACTCATCGCTGCCAAGACAGAGAACAGGGGAGGGATGGATTGGGAGTTTGGGATTAGCAGATGCAAACTATTATATACAGAATGGATGGACAACAGAGTCCTACCATACAGCACAGAGAACTATATTCAATGTCCTGTGGTAAACCATAATGGAAAAGAATATATATTTACATGTATAACTGAATCACTTTGCTGTCCACCAGAAAGTAACACAACATTGCAAATTAACTATATTTCAATAAAATAAATTTTTAAAAAATTTAAAAAGCAGAGTACACCAAACCCAACAATCAAAATTGCATTATGACACAGATGGAACTAACAAATGGCTTACAAGGAAGACAGAAGGTCAATGTTTTACTCCTCTCCAAAAAACAAACAGTGATAATAAAAATGATTGTGATCATTTAAAATGCCCCCTAAAAAAACAAACAAATGAAAACACAAGAAAGAGGGGCCTTATCTATTGTTAAGTCTGATGTGGTTCTAGAGACTTCTCTCTGTCACTCTACAAATGCTAAGATGGGCAGTATCTGGTTCTCACATTTCCCCAAATATATGGGGAAAATTCAGGATTTTTACAAATCTAAGAAACAATGTACTTCTCTTCAACGTAGGACACGCTCTTTTATCCTTAATCCAGCCTCTTGTGTACAGCTTCTAAAATATGTGTCCATCTGAGAAGGGGACTCAGGACCACAGAACTCCGAGTGATGCTGGGGGCGGCAGCTGAGCCTATAGATGGGTTTACATCATGGATACTCTGACTCAAGGATGCTTGAAGGAATAAGGAAGCTTTAAACATGGTCAGAACCAAATCTAGTTACCTCAAGAGTCCCCTAAGGAAAAGTTTGCTCAAAAAGCCATCATACCTTTTCTGATTCATAAGAAGTTCTCTGTGAAGGTCTTGATGGTTCCGGGATGTCTTGACAGGATTGACTAGTTTCTGAGGCCTAATGAGCTCGGGATTGTCATCGTCTATATAGTCTGGCTCGGCCATGATGTTTCTCGGGATGAGATACGTGTCCTTGGGGTCAGAATCCTCCAGTGGGCTGTCTGAAACAGAACGATGAGAGTCACTGTGGTGTCGGTTCAGACGTCTGTCCGCGCAAAACAGAGGCCTGGGATGGCCGAGCACATCCTCCAAGGGGTCTCCGCCACTTCACTGGAAACCCTCTGAAGCTCCATCTTAGCCACGGGGGCGACGAGAAGCCGGAGGAACCACCTGGTTCTGGGAGCAGACAGCTAAAGCACAGGAGTCCCAAGGCCACACGGGTCCCCACAGGCTCACCGTGAGCTTCAGGTCACACGGGTCCTGCCCACTACCATTTCTAAATACCCGCTGAACCCACGATCAGCACCTGGGCACCAGACCCAGGTCCTTCATGCTCCCTTCAGCCTCCAAATTAAGATGTTCTAAAAACGTACAGATCCCAGAGCCCGCATAGGAGGCCAGCAGCTCCCCAGGGGCAGATCAGCCTCCTTACCCTGCCAGGCTACTGGTCCCTGTCTCCCTTCCCACTCCTGTGAGCACCCTGGAGCTCCATCCCGTTCACAGCCTTCCGCATCTTTCCTCAAATGGCACCTTCTCAGAGAGCCCTGACCTCCTAACTGCCCTGCTTAAACCTGCAGGCCCACCCCGGCCCTTCCCTGCTTCCTCCAAACCTCAGGTGGACTGACTAGTCACTGGCCGCCCAGAGCTGCTGCTCCTGGGGGCAAGGATTTCATCTGCACACACAGCCCACCCCGCAGCTGCCAGGAGTGCCGGGGGCAGGGGTGGGGACCAGGCAGCAGAGCCCAGCTCTCCACACTCGCTGTCTAGAAGGAAGAGGCGGCTTCCCTGGAGAGCGGAACAGACCGCCCAAAGCGGCTTATTTCTGGGCTTGGACTCTGCATCAGTACGTGAAAGGAACACATCACGTGACGACCCCGGGTCCTGTGTTCAATTTTAAGTGCGTGTGTGTAGAGGCCCCTGGTGAGTGGGGCACATGTCTCCTTCCTTCGTCCCCTGCAGCCTCCATACACAGCGAGCACCGTGTGAAGACGTGTCATATTTTGTGAGAAGGAAGAGAAAACACATGGGGGCAAGAGCTGGGGGGACATGGCTGGCTGAGTGCTGCCTGAAACCCCTGTGGTCCACCTGGCAGGTATCCGACTGCTGCAGACCCCTGGGCATGTCTCTCAGCGCTTACCCACCCCTGCTCCCTCTCCCCAACACACATAAATCTTTCAAGATAACCAACACGTCATTTTATGCCTCCCTGTCCTGCAGGATGACTAAATTTTCCAAACCAAAAGTCAGAGGTGGGGCCTCACTCCAGCAAAGCATCTGATAGTGGGACTTCCCTGGAAAGTCCAGAGTACATGCGTGTTAATTCTCTGGCAAGAGCCATGCCCCCAGATGGAACAGGGATCTGAGAAGAGGGCAAGGGCATGAAGGAGGATCCCATCTAAGCACATTCATACCCAGCACCGCCACCTGTCCCCACCTCTCCTGGTGAGTCGAGAGATTGGTCCCCCTCCCCTGCATCCTCAGAGCCCCAGCAGCACCATGCAGGTGTATTTCCAGTACAAGAAGCATCCTTAGACATGGGAGGGCTTTCCCAGTGGCCCGCCTACCATAGCAGAAGACACGGGTTTAATCCCTGATTTGGGAAGATCACCTGGAGAAGGAAATGGCAAACTCACTCCAGCATTCTTGCCTGCAGAATCCCATGGACAGGGGAGCCTGGCAGACTACAGTCCGTGGGGCCACAAAAGAATCGGACGCGACTGAGCACTCACGCACACACACACCGTAACCATGTGTCTGTCTGTTCCGTCAAAGAGCCAGAACCACTTCGTCTCCAGTTTTAAATCCAAGGGTCCAGCCAAGTGTCTGGCACATGGCAGAAGCTGAATAAATTTTGAACTTAATCAAATCTGTAATAAATAGAAAGAGGACAAAGCCTCTGTGAACAAGCTCCTAGAAGACAGGCTCCATCTTTATTTCTGCCCATGAAATCAATGCCCCAAGCAAACACCCAAGTGAGGGGGTGTGTGTGTGTGTTTGCACACGGGGCAGGGGTGCAGGCAGGAGAGACGTGGCTAGTGCTTCCATGGACTCTGGCATGGGGTGGGGGAGTGAGGCTATAATCGAAAAGAATAAAAATGCAATCTCAAGTAAAATTTAGAAATAAGTAAAACGGGTCCAGATGCCGGTAGCTTCAAGTAGGAGTCTTGGGTCTCAAAAGTCATCGGTGATGTTTCCTGAATCTCTGAACTTTCTTCAACAGCAGCCAACAATTTCCCAACACTTTAGATACAGCGCCTGCAGGTACGTGATCACACCTGATACCAGTGAGAGTCCTATGAACATAAGCACTAGAATCTTTATTCCACAGACAATAAACAGAGGAATAAAAGTGAAAATAACTTGCCTAGGCTAATTTTGCCAATAGTGTAAATCTCAAACTTGGAAAAAAAAGAAAACACTCTCCGATCTTAAAACTCATGTTCTGTCTACCAAATTACAATGTTTCCTATTTTTAATAGAAAGATCTTTTGAAAATTAACATGAAATAAAGAGGAAAAAAAACACAAACAATAAATTAAAGCAACGAAAACAGAAAAACTGTAGCTGCATCATTTGTATATTTTGGGTACAAATGCATGGCCAAGCAATAATACACATGTATCTAACAGATTGGGCTTCCCTCGTAGCTCAGTTGGTGAAGAATCTGCCTGCAGTGCAGGAGACCCGGGTTCGATTCCTGGGTCGGGAAGATCCCCTGGAGAAGGAAATAGCAACCCACTCTAGTATTCTTGCCTGGAGAATCCCATGGACAGAGAAGCCTGGCAGGCTACAGTCCATGGGGTCGCAAGAGTCGGACACGACTTAGCGACTAAACCACCACCACCACCATCTAACAGATTAAACTCAAATATTCCTCAAATGCTACGTGCATTGATCTTTAAAAGACAAGTATGTTTGCAGCCTCCCCCAAATGGAAACTCATGAACCTGGCCTGTGGTAGGTCAGCGACCCCATCTCAGCAGCCTGACTATTTGAATGGGCCCCTCGGAGCATGCACTACTTCGTGGAGACTGGAGAAGTGCCAGACAGGCCTGCAGGCAGTCTTGATTTTGTTTAAAAGCTAACAGCAGTTTCATCCTAGTTAATCAGTAGACAAGAAGGCAATGAGCTGCCATAAAAGGATTGGTCCCTCTGCCCTAAACCAGGGATAATCTCCCCGACCTCAAATCCAGACTCCTGCCTCCTGAGGTCAAGGTGTCAGCAGGAGAGGGGAGCCTGTAGACCTGGGGAGAAGAGTGTTCCAGACTCGGGGAATGAGGAGTCAGGAGCACGCCTGATGCATCTGAGGAAGGAGAGACGTGAATGAAGGTGGGGATGGAAGGGAACCAGTGGGGGCACCAGAGAAGGGTGGGATTCGATGCGGGGACTTGGAAGACCAGTGCCGGGGACTTGAAGGCCAGTGCCAGGGCCTTTGCCTTGAGTGACAGCAAAGAGCCATTCATGGCTCTGAGCAGGAAGTGACGAGCTCTGACTCATGTGTCTGGATGATTACTCTAGCTGCCGAGAGTAGGACAGGCCCAGCACAGCCAAGGAAGGACTCCAGGAGGCAGCTGTCAGGGGACCCAGATGAGAGGCGGGTGCGGCAGGCCGGATGTCACTTCATTCCAGCCCTCGGGACTTCCTGAAGAACCGCACAGCAGGAGCGAGACGCACAGAGAGGTCGAGGGTGCCTCCAAGGGCTCTGGCCTGAACAACGAGGACAGAGCTGCCGCGGTGGAGGCCGTGAGGACAGCAGGCGGGAGTGAGGTCAGGAGCTCCCTCTGGGACGTGCTGGGTCGGAGACGCCCCTGGACACCCAGGTGACTGAGGGCGACCAGCTGACGCAGTGAGCGCCCAGACCCCGGGCGGCTCCTTCCTGGTCTTACTAAGTGAGCGCCCAGACCCCGGGCAGCTCCTTCCTGGTCTTACTAAGTGAGCGCCCAGACCCTGGGCGGCTCCTTCCCGGTCTTACTAAGTGAGCGCCCAGACCCCGGGCGGCTCCTTCCTGGTCTTACTAAGTGAGCGCCCAGACCCTGGGCGGCTCCTTCCTGGTCTTACTAAGTGAGCGCCCAGACCCCGGGCGGCTCCTTCCTGGTCTTACTAAGTGACTGCCGGGGTCTCTCACTTCGCTCCCCCACCCCCGGCCCTCCACTCCCACTATTCCCATGACAGGAGCCCACAGAGATGCCCACTGCCCAGAGTCCCTAGAGGTCAGGGCCGGGCTACAGACATTGTCTCGGGCCTTGGCGCCAAGAGAGATTGAGCTTCCTGTGTACACAGTGAACGGACTTCAGTTCTGACCCTAGGGAACAAGTTCTAGCTTGGACTCTTCTCCACTTTCTCTTAAGACTGGGGGTCTGGGAAGCCTCTCTCTCCCCACTGGCTGAGAGGAGTGAGATAGGCTTGGCCTGTCTCCTGCTGGACAGAGGCAGACAGGCCACGGGTGGGCAGTGGCTGAGGGAGCTCTGCCCATAAACGAAGGCACAAACTTCTTCCTTCTTCTCTCTCCCTGGTTGGTCCTTCATCCAAGTGGAGACGGGAAAGGGGGCCCCAGCCTGAGTCAAGTGTTCAGACCTCAAGCGTGACTGAACCAGGCTGAGGGGAACCCTGTGGTCCCCAGGGGTGGACCATGCTGGTGTCTGGGAAAGGTTATGGATGAGAAGGAGGGCGGCCCTGAAAACTGTACATGATGGAGGCCCTGCACCCACGGACTGCTCCCCATTCCTTTATGCACGCACGCTCAGTCACACAGTTGTGTCTGACTCTGCAACCCCCCGGACGGTTGCCCACCAGTCTCAGACTCTGTCTGTGGAATTCTCCAGGCAAAAATATTGCAGTGAGTTGCTATTCTCCTCTCCAAGGGATCTTCCTGACTCAGGAATCAAACCCAGGTCTCCCGCATTGCGAGCAGATTCTTTACAATCTGAGTTACCAGATACCTTGCACTGAGTCAGACTAATTCTTAAATGAAGGAACAGAGTCCAGGAAGAATCACCAGGAG